GGCGTGTTCTGCCAGAGCGTGATGAAGGCCGAGATGGCGTCCCCCGCGTTTGCGCCCGTGTACGCTGCGCTGGTGGCGGTGGTGAACACCAAGTTCCCCGAGATCGGGCTGCTGCTGCTGCACCGCGTAGTGGGGCGCTGGAAGAGGGCCTACAGGTGACCGGGGGCTCGCCTGCTTGTGGGTGTGGGTGTGCGTGTGTGTGTGTGTGTGTGTGTGTGTGCGCGTGTGTGTCTGTGTGTATGCGTGCGTGTCTGTGTGCGCATATGTGTGTGTGTATGTGTGTGTGTATGTGTGTGTGTTGATGCGCCCAGGGGGTCTTGCCTGGCAAGGCGGAAGGTGATCGGCGGGGGATCCAGGGGGACGGGGTGCATGGTACCAGACAGGGACGCAGGAGCCGGGCGTACACCAATGCGCATGCGCATAGGGGGGGAAGCGGTGAAGCCCGCCATCACACCCCCCTCCTCTCCCCCGCGCCCGAGATCAGGACGACCTGCCGCGCCCATCCCCTCCGCCGCTGACCACCATACGCGCGCCTCCCGCGTCGGCGCCCTGGCTCCCCCCCCATCACAGGTCCAACGACAAGCCCGTCTGCCTGGCGCTGGTCAAGTTCATGGCACACCTCATCAACCAGGTTGGTTGCTGCCCTGTGAAAAGGGAAGGGTGGTGGTGGGGGGGGGTGTTGTGTTGGGGGGACGTCGTGTCGCGTGCTCTCGCGGGGCGCAAGATGTGGGCAGGGTCTGCAGCTCGTCGAGGCGTGAGGGGGGTATGAAGGCCCGGCCCGCGTCCCCCCGTCCCACGGCGTGGACACAGCTCACGTCGCTCGCATCGCACTGGCGCACGCGCGCCCATGCGGCCCTTCGCACGCGCTCACACACACATTGAAATCCCCCAACCCACCTCACACAATTACACACACGCACACACACACCCAACACACAAGCACACACGTGCAACCACACACACCCTAACACACGGTCATCAACCACTTGCACACTCTCCCCCCCCATCAAAGGGTGTTGCCCACGAGCTGCTGGCCCTGGAGCTGCTGGTGCTGATGCTGGAGAACCCCAGCGACGACGGCGTGGAGGTGGCAGTGGACTTCTGCAAGGACGTGGGGGCATACCTGCAGGTAGGGTGTGGGGGGGGAGAGTGTGTGTGTTTTTGGTGTGCTCGTGTGTGTGTGTGCTTGTGTGTGTGCGTGCGTGTGGTTGTGTGTGTGTGTGGTTGTGTGTGTGTGCATGTGTATTCGCGAGTGTGTGTGTGTGTGTGTGTGTGTGTGTGATTGTGTGTGATTGCCACAAACACGCATGATTTGGTCTGGCCCGAGAGCCACGGCATGTGCATGCCGAACCTCCACCCACTTCGCGCACGCCCCCCGCCCGTTCTGTGCCCCACGCCCCCGGCCCCGGCAGGACGTGGCCCCCGCCGGGCTGCACTCTGTGTTTGAGCGCTTCCGCGCTATCCTGCACGAGGGGTCCATCGACAGGCGCTGCCAGTACATCATTGAGGGCCTCTTTGCGATACGCAAGGCCGGGTTCGACAAGAGCGGACACCCACAGGTGGCCGGATGGGTCGCAGGGGGAAACGGTCGCAAGGGAAGGGGGGGGCCGGCAGGCGTGCTCTGTTGCTGTTTGAGCCGCGTCAGGGAACAGGGCGCCGCGTCAGGTACCAGGGCCGCCCTCACACCCGCGATTCGCCCACCGTCCACAGCTCCCGCCACCCGGCGCCGTGCCCTCCACGTCATCCCACGTGCACGTACTCGCGTCACACCCTCACCTCCCCCCCTCCAAACCACCCCCACCCCCACACGCACACATTTACACACACACACATGCATGCACAACCAAGCACACACACACACACGCACGCACACACATGCACACACACACGTGCGCACACACACACACACACACACAGGTCCAGGCCGCCCTGGACCTGGTTGAGTCAGAGGATCAGGTGACTCACGAGGTGTCACTCGACGACGCGGTGGACCCACAGGTGACAGGAAGGGGCCCGGGAGACGGGGGGGGGGGGGTGGTAAACCCCAAACCCACACCAACCCCTCCACATCTACTCCAGGCCCTGACCCCAACCCTGAACCCTCCCTCCCCCACGTCC